TTTTTTTTTTCCTTCCCCTCCCCCATGGGTTTCTGTTAAGTATCTCAGGATCCACATAAGAGTGAAACCATATGGAGGATACTCTAATTTTAGAAGTCAGTATGAAAATATTATTCAGCCATAAAAATAAGGGAAATCCTGCCATTTGCAACAACATGGATGGACCTTGACAGCATTATGCTAAGTGAAATAAACCAAACAGAGAAAGACAAATACTATATGATCTTACTTATACATGGCATCTAAAACAAACAAACAAAAACCCCTGAACTCACAGAGAGAACATAGTGGTGGTTGCCAAAGGCAGGAAGGGGTGGGGAGTAGGGGAAATGGGTGAAGGTGGTCGAAAGTACAAACTTCCAGGTATGGGATAAGTCCTGGAGATGTAAGGTACAACATGGTGACTACAGTAAATAATATGGTATTGTATATTTGAAAGCTGCTAAGATAGAAAATCTTAAAAATTCTCATCGTAAAAAAAAAAAAAAATTGGTAACTACGTGATAGGTCTAGTGATAGGTTACTGTGATCATTTCACAATATATACAAATAACAAATCATTCAGTTATACATCTGGAACTAATAAAATGTTATATGTCAATTATATCTCAAAAATAGTCAGTAGGAAATTAGTTACAAGAAGGTGACATGCAATATGACAGCACTGTTAGCTTCTTCCAGGAGCCCTGCTTTTTTGCCCTCGGCCAATGCATCAGGTGCAAAGAATTACCAATGCAGTTGGCTCCAAGTGTAATGTCTGTGGTGGCTGCATTTAGGTTCTTTATACAGACATTTGGAAAATGAACCTCTGCTCTGCTCCAACGTCAAGGGCAAGGATAAGACTTGTTTTCTTTCTCTGCTCCTCATTCCTACTTGGCTGGGTGTGGAATCTGGGACATTACTGTTACTCCAGTCCTCAGCAGAGCTCATCTAGGGTGAAATAAGGGTAGGAGCAAGTCTTTGTCCTCACTGGCAGCAGGCTTTCCCCAGGCAGCTGTTGTCCCCCAGGATTTTCATCCTCTACTTCCCACAGAGAGGGCCAAGCCCCAGTGGCAGCTGTTGTGATTTCCAGAAAGCACAGAACTGGGGCTTCCCTGCCCTCCCTGCATCTCCCATGGGTGTCCATCCAAACGCACACGTTCCTGTTTGGAAGCTGAAGGTGTGAGTAGCTTTGAAAGTGACTGAAAGGAGAAACGTGTAGATTCATAGATTGACAGAATTAGTTCAGCAAAACACCCCTTTTATTACTCAGGAAGTGGAGGCACAGAAAAGTGATGAGGTGACTTGCCCAAGGTCATAAAACTCTTCATTCTGCAATTTATTCCTGGTGGAGAAGAAATAAAAACCATATTTCATGTTTCCAAGGCTACTGCTCTTCCTTCTACCTTAGAGGTTTGAAGAGGAACCGGCTTCTGCCTTCACACGTTTTAAATTTTGATTACTCCTGGGGTGCCTGGGTGGTTCAGTCGGTTAAGCGTCCGACTTCAGCTCAGTTCATGATCTTGCGGTTTGTGGGTTCGAGCCCCGTGTCGGGCTGTGTGCTGACAGCTCAGAGTCTGAAGCCTTCTTCAGATTCTGTGTCGCCCTCTCTATCTGCCTCTCCCCTACTCGCACTCTGTCTGTCTCTCTCTCTCTCTCAAAAAGAAAATAAAAACACACAAAAAATTTAAATTTTGATGACTTCTGTTTGTTCTCCACCCACTATTCATTATTAGAGTGATGTTTTGATTCTGTGTTATTCTAGGCAAGGACCCAGCAATGCCCCAACCTGCCTTGCCTCCTACTTCCCTCTCCTCTTCCCACCAGGCTCCAAGGAAGCTAAGCACAATAAATAATCATAGATTGTGAAGCAAAATACCTCTTTATTAACATGGCCCAGGCACACATACTCCAATGTATAGCTCTCTGGTAAAATATTAAGTGCGGCTTTCTTCTTTTTGGGATATCGCTGCCCTCTGACCATACGCAAAAAGGAGGAAGCCTAAGAAATAGGGGAACTGTATGGCCAGGTTTGCACAACAGGCTTTGGCTTATTTGCTCGCCCAAATGCACATTAGGAGAAAAGTAGGAGATGAGAAGAAACTGGCTAAGCCTGATCCATCTAGAAGTGATACAGGAAACACAAGAGAGGAACACAGGGGTTCACACCGTTGAGTAAATACAGCCCATATTAGTAACCTGACGCTGTGTAACAAATCAAAACTTAGTGACTTACAGCAATGATCATTATTATCTCCAACAACTTCTGTGGGCTGGGAATTCAGACAAGGCATTGCAAGGATGGCTTTTCTCTGCTGCACAATTTCTGGAGTCTCCACTGGAAGACTCAAAGACTGAGGACTGGACCTATCTGAGAAACATTTGCCTACTCATGTGTCTGGTAGTTAGCTGTCTGTCAGGACACTCACATGTGGCCTCTCTATGTGTCTTCCCCCAAACATGCTAAGTGTCCTGAGAGAGAGCTCCCAGGAAGTCATATTAACTGTTACGATCCAGCTTCAAAAGTCGTGCAACATCATTTCTGTGACATTGGTGTAGTTATGGCAGTTACAGAGGTCTGCCTACATCCAGAGGGCTCCCCCTGTTCTCCACAGACCCTGCCTCATGACGAAGCATGTCAATGTTACATTGTATGAAGACCATGAGAGATGAGACATTTTAGGAAAATACAATCTGCCACATGGTCCAATCAATGTCTTGGGCTCTGACCATTCAGATTAGAAACTTCCTTACTGGAGCACCTGGCTGGCTCAGTCAGTGGAGCATGCAGCTCGATCTTGGGGTTGTAAGTTTGAGCCCCACGTTGGATGTAGAGATTACTTAAAAATAAAACCTTAAGGGGCGCCTGGGTGGCGCAGTCGGTTAAAGCGTCCGACTTCAGCCAGGTCACGATCTCGCGGTCCGTGAGTTCGAGCCCCGCGTCAGGCTCTGGGCTGATGGCTCAGAGCCTGGAGCCTGTTTCCAATTCTGTGTCTCCCTCTCTCTCTGCCCCTCCCCCGTTCATGCTCTGTCTCTCTCTGTCCCAAAAATAAATAAACGTTGAAAAAAAAAAATTAAAAAAAAATAAAACTTTAAAAACAAAAACAAAACTTCCTCCTTACTGAGTGGGGAGTTGGAAGAAGGGTGATCTGAGATAAGCCCAGATGGGAAGAGGGCCTAAAATTTTATTTCTCACAGAAACACCACCGTATTCCTACAGATATTAATTTAGAGACTCCTATTTCAATCTCTTCATAACTCCCTTACCTTGGCCAGAAAACAAATTCAAACAAACTGTCCAGTTTTGACTTATGCATAGCACTGGGTCGATAGGTAAGAGGATATGTGGATATTCAAGAAGGACCCTTGCCCAGTCAACCCTCCTCCAAACAAAACAAAATAAAACCTAACACTATATCATACTGTCTGAGAAATCCATGGGAAAGTTAATTTGTCTTGATATTGTACCAAGTGTTAAATTCAAATACAATAGAAGTTCTATCTTATTAATCATGTATACCTTAATGGAAGTTCATTTGGGTTTGAACTGGGGGAAAAGGGGAAAAGCAATGGATTGAGAAGCTGGTAAGGATAAGGCAGAGGAGAAAGGAAAAGCAGAAGGAGTGGAAGCTATAGTTACCTGGAAATTGCTGTGTTACATTTCACCACGGCCCAGTTCTGGAAAACATTTTACATGGTTTTCCAGCTGTAAACCCATAGTATTGGCTTGGGGACCATAGATCCTCCTCTACCTCTCACCCAGAGACCAACCCTGGAGGCCAGTCTTCCCCTTCATCCTACCCCTCACAAGAAATGCCTCTTTCCTCTGAGTACTCCTACAGAAGGGACTAGGTAATTCATATTTTTAAATTAAAAGCAATAACTATCATACTAACATTGATCAAGAGCTTACTATGTGCCACATACTCTGTTAAATGACCACAGTATCTTCAAATAACCTTTACAAAAATAATCTCTGAGCTAGGTGCTGGGAACGACCCCACCTTTACAGATGAGAATGCTGGAAGCACAGAGATGTTCAGTAACTTGCCCAAAGCAGCCCAGCTGATAAGGCCTAAAGCTGAGGTTTGAACACAGGCAGCCTAACTCCGGAGTCCACGCTCTTAACTATTGCATTATGATATAGGGAAACTTCATACAACCCAGTTATCAGTAGGAAAGATCATTAATAAAGAAGACCTTTATTAATAGTAAAGATGAACACAATAAACTAAAACCCTACATAAAGTATTTAGTGAGGGGAAAAAGTAGCAAGTCAGGAGTAGGAAAAAAATGAAACAAGGGGTCCCTGGGTGGCTCAGTCGGTTAAGCATCTGACTTCGGCTCAGGTCACGATCTCATAGTTCACAAGTTCTAGCCCCACGTAGGACTCTGTGCTGACAGCTCAGGGCCTGGAGCCTGCTTCTGATTCTGTGTCTCCCTCTCTCTCTGCCCCTCCCCTGCTTGTGCTCAGTCTCTCTCTCTCTCAAAAATAAAGTAAAACATTCAAAAAAAAGTTTTTAATTAAACAAGAATATATATAAATAAAATAAAAAAACAAAAACAAGTTAGTATATTACCACCTCACACCAGTCAGAATGGCTAAAATAACAACTTAGGCAACAACAGATGTTGGCAAGAATGCAGAGAAAGAGGATCTCTTTTGTACTACTGGTGGGAATGCAAACTGGTACAGCCACTCTGGAAAACAGTATGGAGGTTCCTCAAAAAGTGAAAAATAGAACTACCCTACGACCCAGCAATTGCACTACTAGGTATTTATCCAAGGGATACAGGTGTGCTGTTTCAAAGGGACACATGCACCCCAATGTTTATAGCAGCACTATCAACAATAGCCAAAGTATGGAAAGAGCCCAAATGTCCATTGACGGATGAATGGATAAAGAAGATGTGATATACATACACAATGGAGTATTACTCGGCAATCAAAAAGAATGAAATCTTTCCATTTGCAACAACATGGATAGAACTAGAGAGTGTTATGCTAAGCAAAATAAGTCAGTCAGAAAAAGACAAGTATCATATGACTTCACTCATATGTGGAATTTAAGATACAAAACAGATGAACATAAGGGAAGGGAAGCAAAAATAATATAAAAACAGGGAGGGGGACAAAACATAAGAGACTCTTAAATACAGAGAACAAACTGAGGGTCGCTGGAGGGGCTGTGGGTACAGGGATGGGCTAAGTGGGTAGCGGCATTAAGGAAGACACTTGTTGGGACGAGGCCTGGGTGTTATATGTAGAGGATGAATTACTAGAATCTACTCCTGAAATCATTATTGCACTATCTGCTAACTAACTTGGATATAAATTTAAAATAAATAAATAAATAAATAAAATTTAAATAGCAAACAAAAAAATAGTAAAAAGTGGTTTGTGTGTGTGTAAATGATTATTATCTCAATCAAAACAAGGGGATAAATATGAATTAATAAGATTAGAAATAAGAACAAACTATATTTCTGATTGTGTGCTTGCTTACAAAAATATAAAGCATCAAAAAGAAACATAAGCAGTTAGCCCACAAAGATGCCTGATCCTGGTGGACATGAAAATTTTCCAAACTTTCAAAGAACAAAAAAACTCCTATGTCACATAAACTTTAAGTGTGTGAGTGTTTGCATGTGTATGTTGTAGCTTAACCAACTTATTTTATTTTATTTTATTTTTAAACGTTTTTATTTATTTTTGAGACAGAGAAACAGAGCATGAACAGGGGGAGGGGCAGAGGGAGAGGGAGTCACAGAATCTGAAACAGGCTCCAGGCTCTGAGTGGTCAGCACAGAGCCCGATGCGGGGCTTGAACTCATGGACCGTGAGATCATGACCTGAGCCGAAGTCGGATGCTTAACCGACCGAGCCACCCAGGCGCCCCTAACCAACTTATTTTATAAAGTGAAAATGATTGATTTCAAAATTTGAATAGGAAACTGAAATCAAATTATAGGTAAATCTCCTTAATAAACAAAAATATTAAGATCGTATGTTAACAAAAGGAGAGAAAAATATTTTACATGTGCTAGTCACTATGCTTAATTCCAGAAATGCAAAACTTGTACAAAGAAGTAAAAACAATATAGCACATCATGTTGGATATATATGTTTTATCCAAAGAGATTTTAATAAGTTGTTGGCTATAATTCTCATCTCTTCCTGATGAAAAATTTTAAAATCAAGTGTTAATAATTTAGAGATTGCTTTTTTGTCATATGGAATTTAGTTTAGTAATTCATCAGAAAGGTGGATTTCTGGTCAGCATTGTTTAAAACCATTTCTCTTATATGAGAATATATCCTTTACTCTGGAGAAAGCATGTGCAGGAAGGAGGACTGGTAACAAGAAAAATATTAGCACCTCAGGGCAGGGACTCTCATATTTACAGATTGTGGCACTAGGGATCCAGGATCCAAGGAGAGATGAATTCAAGAGGCTCACATGTAGGAAATAACTTAGCAATGCCCAGGAAAAGGGAATAGGAACAATTGCTTCCAAATGCCCTAATGATATACTTTTTTTCCTTTTTGCTTATTTTTCTTTCAGCTGCCTCCAAACTATTTTTTTTTTCAACGTTTTTTAATTTTTATTTTTGGGACAGAGAGAGACAGAGCATGAACGGGGGAGGGGCAGAGAGAGAGGGGGACACAGAATCTGAAACAGGCTCCAGGCTCCGAGCCATCAGCCCAGAGCCTGACGCGGGGCTCGAACTCACAGACCGCGAGATCGTGATCTGGCTGAAGTCGGACGCTTAACCGACTGCGCCACCCAGGCGCCCCGTCCAAACTATTTTTATCTTCAGCCATTCCAAACTGGAAATGAAGGCAATGTTAGCAATGTTGGATTGCCAGTCTAAACATGATGGAGTATGCACGGAAAAGAAAGAGTCTGTTTTATTCTTAAAGAAACACACATTGGTTTTCTCAATCAGGATTTGTTGTTCTAGAAATGTTGTCAGTAACTAT